AGAGGACCTTCACTTACCCCACATTATATCCATCACCAAGGTATGTATAGGTCTTGATTCACAATTGTTTCTAAAGCCTGAACCTGTTTCTTGCTTAAGGATTTCTTTTTAATTGCAGGAAATCCAGCAGGCCAAGCATCGCAGTTTTATGTCCCTCAACCTTATCCACCCGCTGGACAGCAACCATTTGCGGTACCAAGTCAAGTTCAGGCTGGGCAACCTTCTTCCCCTCCTACTCATCCCATTCCAGGCTCCCCAGGATCCAACCGTCCGTAAACATTCCATTTCTTCGTTAAAGTCTCGTTTTCTCTTCATTTTTTGTTGATAAAAGAGATGTTGGTTTACAGTTTCCATTTTTTTATCCTTTCATCTGGGAGGAGAAATGGAAGTAAGACCGTTTGCATTTTGCAGTACACTAGTGACCCGTGACCCAAAGTAGGTTAGTTTTCTTTTGTTTGGCTCTGGGGAATTACCCCATGAACAACATTTATCCATTGAAAATAGTTTCCTTTAATGAGAACAGCCCTCAACTGAAAATAATTTCATGTTTGGTTTGAAAAATAAAATAAAAAAGGAAGGGATGAATGAATTTTTTAATTAATTAAAGCATAATATTTTTAAATATTAAAATTTAAATTGATAAAAAAAAATAATAATCTCCCCCTTCTAATCTCATCCCTTCTTTTTTAATCAAACGTCCTCTTATAAAAGAATAATATAAAACTTCAACGACATGAAAAAAATTTAAAAATAAAAAATAGAAAAACAGATTATTTGAAAGTTTGTTCTTGTCCTGTCTACAGTACTACATGGTAGGCGCTGTTCTCTACTTTCCTAGATGGTAGGTACTGAGGTTTGTATATATATCACCCTGCAAACAATGACGTTTAACAGCCTTAGCAGCCCTATATGAGCTTGCAATGTACAGTAAAAACCTTAATTCATACACGGTTCAAGTTTTTTTTTTCGGTTTCCTGTCCGGTATCCGGGGCTTCGCCCCGACTAATCCGGACCCGACCCGCGTCGCGCACCTGGAAATGGTGGGTGAGTCTCCCAGCGAAGGTTGCTGCATTCACAAGGACTCGAACTCGAGACCTTACTTAAGCTGGAACAAGCCGCTTACCACTTAATCCAACCCCTCGTTGGTTACACGGTTCAAGTTATTATAAGAATAATTGTAATATGTCTTCTTTTCTTAAAATTCAGTGATGTTTAACAAGTACAAGTATGAATGGAGTCTGATATTTTCTGGCAAGTTTATATACAGGAACTTACAAAATGAAAGAGGCAATAGGAAATGCATTATCCTCCAAAAGTTTATCCATCTAGATAATGATCATGAATCTGAAACCATGTATGC